CGGAAATGCGGCGCGGGAGCCTCCCCGCCTCCCCGCCCCCCCGGGGGCTGGTCTCTCCTGGCAAGGCGTGCAGGTCTGCCTTTGAAACGCCGTGCAAACGGATTGAGTCACAAACAAGTCCGCAAACAGGCCGGGGCCAACCCCCCCGCCCTTTGTTCTCCCAGACCTGCCTGGCAAACCTTTCCTTGAATCGCCCTCTCAGCCCCAGCCGGCCAGGGGTTCCTTCTTCCCCGGACCCCGGCCTGGGCACCGGGAGCCTTCAGCCCCCGCCCGCCCTCCGGCCCAAAACCTTGTTAATGATGGGGGGAAACCTCCCGAGACCCGCACAGGTGAACCAGGGACCCAGCGCGCAGCTGCCGGGCTGGGGAAACTGAGGGTTTGGCGGCGCCGCACACGCGCGCGGGAGGACTGCGTGGGCCTGGAGAGGGGGGTGTGGCGCGAGCTGCTCGGGCCTCCGGGTTGGGATCAATCCCCCTGTCCCCTTGCGCGTTAGCCTGAGAGCATCGGGACCTGTGAGATCTCCAGAGCATCCAGCTGTCGCCCTCTGTCTGATTCCCGCCCCCCACCCCGCGTAGCGCCCCGGAGCTCAGGAAGCCGGTGTACGCTGGGCTCCACACGTGGCTGCTCCGGGGTGTCATTTTTCATTTCCCGGGAGGACATTTCTTCTGGTGAGCCGGCAGGTCTATTTTGTTGTGACCTTTAATTAACACCCCGCGAGACGCCTCCTGCAGGACCAGCCGGGCGCGGAGATCACGTGTGGTGTAATGGCATCCCGGCACCCCGGAAAGACCTGGCCTTGGGCTAGGTGGGGGCAGGGGGACATTTCAGGCTTTCCTAGTCTGTCTTCCTTCTGACACATGGATAAGCAAGGAAGGGGGGACAGAAGACAGCAAGTGGGGTGCTGGGACCCTGGGGCAACGCCCCCATCTTGTGTTCCTACTGGAATCTTTGGTGCCTCCACGGTGCAGCCACCCCCGCCCCTCACCCTCTGCAGCCAGTGAGCCCGGGATATTTCACAGCCTTCAAAGCAAGGCGAAAAGGTCAAAATGAAGATGTTGAGAACACTGTGGAAGTTTCCATTACGTTCCTACTTCCAATTTCAACGCGATCATATCTGCAGAGGACCTTAGGGGGACAGGTAGCCTCCAAGCAGCACATGCCGGCTGTGGCCACATCTGTATTCTGCCTGGGTGCCGCGGAAAATATCGTCGCCATTAGCTATGCGCGGCTTATCAGCCCCAAAGCAGCATGTGGCCAGGTGAAATGTACGAGCCTGTGAAGCCCCGAGTGGGAAAAGTGGGGTATCGACGGGGTGGGGGCTGAGAGCCATCGCGGAGCAGCGCGGTTCGCCCTAAAGAATGATGAGCCCGGAGTAGAGCTGATGTGTGTCCCAAAGTATTTGCGGCCCACCGCGTGTTTGATGGGCTCGGAGCGCCCTCTGTTGGTGAAATTTTAAAGCTGGTGGTCCCCTCAAGAGAGTTGATGTGAAATGCTTAAATTTTTAGTGTAAAATTTCATGAGTACCCAATTAAGATGTAAATTCTTCTCAATGAAAAAATGTTCACCCCTTCCCAGGCAGTCCCCCACCCCCGTTAACCATTAGCAATCGCTGTACCGACTTCCATCACCACAGATCAGTTTTGATTGATCTTGAATTTTTTTGTCTACAGAATCCGTATGTCTTTTGTGTTTGGCTTAACATGGGTTTTGGGTTTCCTGTTACTGTTCGTATGGGTCTGTTTCCTATTTTGCTGTCTTACATTCCTCCCTTCCGCTTGCCTTTCTTGTTAATTGAATAATGTCTTCATATTCTCTCATTCCTCGACTGGGTTTCTAGCTCTAATGACTCTCATATGAATTTTTGACTTAGCGCGGGCTGTTCAGGGGTAACATTGCAGAATTCACTAGAATGTACACTTCAGCAGGCCCATTTCCATTTTATCTCTGTCCTTTGAGCTAATGATTTAAATGTACACATTGTAAAATCTACAATATGATCATTTATATTATGTTTTGACAAATCTATCTTTCCATGAAACTAGGGAAAATATGGGGTTTTAAAATGCATTTACCTAGTTTTTGCACGTCTGGATTCTCCCCCACCCCCACAAACTAAAATTCCAATTGAATTCCTTTTTTTTTTTTTTTAGCCTGGAGAACGAACTTCCCTAAGGATTTCTTTCTTTCTTTTTTAAAATTTACTTGTTTTCTTTTTCTGTGTAGAAGTGGTTGTGCCAGTGTGTGTGGCTCGTGTGTGTGGCCAGGATGGGGGAAGGTGGGTGGCGTGTGTGTGTGTGTGTGTGTGTGTGTGTGTGTGTGTGTGTGTTGCACACCTGGTACCTGCAGAGACCACAGTTACCAAAACTGGAACTGCAGATTGTGAACTGCCATGTGGGTGCTGGGAATTGGACCAAGGACCTCTGCGAGAGCAGCCAGGGACCCATCTCTCCAGCCCCTCCTTTAGCAATTCCTGTAGCAAAGAACTCGTGGCAACAAATTGTCTCTGGGTCCACTTATCTGCCTTACCTCTCTGTCTAAGGACTTGATTAACTGGATGTAGAATTCTCTCCACGGCTTTTCTTTTGGCCCCTGAGAATGGTCCTCCGCCTTCTTTCTGGTTAGAGGTGAGCTGCCACTGTCATGGGTGGCATGGGTTGCTTTTACTTTCTATCTTCCTGTCTCGGGGATACGATCTGGATATCATAGCTGGATATGATCTGTGTTTGTCCTGCTCGGGGCTTGCTGGATTCCTGGAACCTGACAGTATTAGTCACTTTTCTGCTGCTGTGATAGAATACCCCACAAAGGCGACTTAAGGAAGAAAAGGGATCGTGTCGGCTCGTCATTCCAGAGGCTTAGAGTACATCCTCGGGGGAAGGCTGGCGACAGGCAGGGAAGACAGGTGACATGAGACTGACAGCCCACATTTTATTCACACACAGGAAGCAGAAAAGAGAGAAAATAGTTTAGCCAGCTATAAGCCCTCAAAGCATCACCCCGGTGATGCCCTGTCTCCAGCAAGGTTCACCTCCTAAAGGCTCTGCAACCTTTCCAAAGGGTGCCATCAACTGGGGATCAAGTGTTCAAATACATGAGCCTTTGGGGGACAGTTTTCATTCAATTGACCACAAAGTTGATCTAGAAAAATTTCCACCCAATTTGGGACATTTTCCGGCTACTATTTATTCAAATCCTCTTACTGTCCCATTCTGTATCTTTCTGTTCTTCTTGGACTCCAGTAACGTGTGTGTTGTTATTATGCTCCGTGGTCGTGACACACGGGTTGCTGGCTCACCTTAGGTAACTTTAGGTCACATCGTCTCAGTTGTTCTCTTATTAAGTTCACTAGCTCTTGCTTCCGCTGTTCATCCACTCTGGTGAACATGTCCTCTGTGCGTGTTCATGCACATGCGTGAGTTTGAGTGTTCATATGCATGTGCGTATGTGCATGTGCACGCGTATGCATGCATAGTCATGTAAATTTGTGCATTTTATTTAAATACTAAATTCTATACATAGAATAATTTCATTCTACCCCTCCTTCGTTAGGGTAGTTCTATTTCATTGTTTCCCTTACACCTAATGAAAACAGCTCTTTGTACTGGTGCTTGTTCTTCGTCCCTAAAATGGGGTTTCCACAGAAAGTCCTACAAGCTTTCCAAGGGTCTTGGACTTGACACTGAGCTCAACTTCCCCGTGGCAAGTAAAACCTCTGCCCAACTCTGTCACCATCTGCACATCACTTTTTCTGGACCTCTTGGAGACTTTCTCTGTCTCATGGTTCAAGGATGCTTTAACCCAGTTAAAGATCATAAGGAAACTTAATGCAGTCTCCAAGCAGCCTCCCCACAGCTGACTCTGCTCCGAGTTTCCACGCTCCCCCCACACACACCTGTGCTGGAAGTGAAACCGAGGCCTCACACACACAAGTGTTCTATCACTGAGTCACACACCAGCCAAGACTTATATAGTTTCAAGGAGTTTTTCTATGATGTGCAGCCTGTGGAGACTAGTTATAATTTTTATTTTCTATTAAATTAAAGAATAGACACAATGACACAAACAAACCTTTGCAAAGGAGAAGAGTTGAAGCGGATGGGATGCTTCTCACTTCTTCACAGTCAAGGACGTTGGTAGTATTTCTTCAGGACTTGACTTGTTTTTAAATACCCTTATTTTAGGAATGAAATCACAAATTGG